TGTATGAGTTTATGTAAATAAGGAATGAATATGTGTATAGTAGTTAGTTTAAAATTTAGTAAAGAAAATAGTGATATATAAATAATAATAGTTTTTAAGAACGCTAATTGTAAGTGAAGTGCATTAATTGATCGACAAATGTTCAGTTGTTCATGTGTCTGTAACAATGCACTAAATAATATAATCTGTTATGGCTACCAAAATTGTTTTAAATAACCAGGTGGAAAAGCCTTTAGTGAAAATTATAGAATTATAAGCCTCGGAGAAGCTTCCTTGAGGGCCACCGAGGCAATTTGAATATTATTTACTGTTTACACAAAACGTACATTGAAATTATTATAAATATGTTCGTTTCTGTTCTCTGGACATGATATAAGTCTGTTGTCCCTAGTCAAGCAGCATGTTAGTAATAAAAATAATTACATATAAAGTCCTTGGGTTTATTCTGACTCTATATACATACTCTATGTATAAGACATAATCAAATGATAGAAAGTAATAATCAGAGTGAAATATTTCGAAACCATGCTTAAAATCATAAAAAATAAATTAGATTGTTTTATTATTGCCATAAATGTGAATTGTTCTACGTTGTAAAAATTTGATATGTCGTAGCAACTTGGCAATAAAATGTAATACTTTCCAGAGCAACATGAACATATGTTCTCTTATGTTTTGTCTTCGCGTTTTAGCATTCCCTAAAGGTTTCAGTTACGTATTTATAATTACATTTTGTAATTTATTATTCTGAAGAATTTATTTTTCCAACAAATGAAGAAACAGAAGATCATGTCCCTGATTGTGAGTGTATTCCCAGCAGTATAGATGACGAAGTAAAGATAAACGATACTTCACTTGGTAATAGGGAAATTTTTTGATCAAAAAATAAAAACATTGAATGGTCTAACAAACCACTAGTAAATTTTAGACGATAATATCCGTAACAATTACCACCAAGTATCTATTACAAGATATGCTGCTACAAGGATAAGTAACGATATTTTGTTCAACCTATTTTTTCCTCCTACAATTGAAAATATTATAGTACAAAATATAAATAAAGAAGAAAAACTTAGGATTTGTGTTTATTCAAGAATATATTGCACAACGAAAGTGTTACCCACGGGCGAAGGCAGCGAAAGAAATAAAGGAGGACATCACGAACTTACAACCTATTGCTTCAACATCGACTAAAGGTGAAAAATACACAAATATTATATGTAAAAGACATTGTAATGAAGTTATAATAACGTATTTCTATGTTTCCTTGATCCCTTTGATAAAACATAAAATTAAAAACAAGAATTTCGCTCATTTCACAGTCATTTTTTAACCAAAGACCTTAAATGTATGGTTGAATCATAGATCGTCCTAGGGTTAATTTTAATTGCTGATAATACTGCCTGCTAGGTAATTGAATTGTATTTATATGTAAATTATACAACTGAAGAGCAATTAATTGATTTAGCTTAAATGTACAGGGTAATCCATGCAACTTGTGCATCTCTATAAATTTTAAAGTATGTGTTGCTCAAAAAATTTTGTATAAATAAGTGTCATAGTTTGAAAGGTTACACTGTATGTAGTGTATTTGTGTAGTGCATTTGTTTTTCTTATAGGTAAAGACATATCGGAGATTTGAAGGTGGACTTTGTATTAAGATATGTAATTTTATACGATGGTGCCAACTCACGTCGATTGAGGATAAATATTATAATTTAACATTATAACATGTACAAGTTTGTAAGTGCTTGCTTTGTCGAATGGTCGTTTTCCTTAGTGATAAGCGGTGGCGCGCTTAGTCGATTTTTCTTAATGCTGATGGTATTTTGTCGAATAGTGTCTTAATGCTCATGTCCTTAAATATACATTTTTGGAAAAGGAAGGTTACCTAAGGAGTGAATCGGTTTGCTATCGAGGGCAGTCGTTCTTCAGGGCGGTGGTCACGGCCCACTCGTGACGTACTCTCGACAAGGAAAGTTCAACCAAGTGGGCCTGATATATTTTTTATCTATATTTTGGTATACAAAGTATAGTATTCTACTTAGAAAAACAAAGTTGACCTTCAAATCTCCAAAACACTTTAACCTATAAAAAAAAAACAAATGCACTGCATAGTGTATTACTTCAAATCATGCAACGTTTTATATACAATTTTTTAAAGCAATGCATACTTTGGAAATTATAGAGGTGCACAAGTTGCATGGAGCACCCTGTATAGGAGAACTTATTAGTATGTAGCAGAGACACCATATGTTCGTTTGTAATAATAGAAAGAGGAGCTATCTTTTTTGTTGTTCGTGTGTAAGTACTATGTGCAGTCTTTACAATGACCACACGCACTGTACCATCTTCGCCTGAATCTAATATGGTTTTACTGTATCCCTCATTGCATTCAGTGATGGTTTCTGCGATGAAGATACAACGAGGTATTTAGATGGGAAAATATTTTTTGAGCACTTACGTTATATTATATTATGCAAATTTTCATGAGCATTTTATGTGAAATATTGTGCACAACGTCGAAGTAATTTTTCTTCGCTCGACCTATTATAAATGGTTAAAATTTTATCGAATATTTGTTTTATAGGTGTTGTTGTGGTTTTGAAATATCGTAGTTTTCAAAGCTGTTGTATTGCTTTTATTTCGTAATATAATTTTCTTATAGTAGTCTGCCAATTTCTTAATAGTGACTTCCTTCGATATATGTACCTTGCTCTTTACCTCCTAAAGTATAATCTTTTAGTTACATGGTTCACACATAGCCACCACTTTTTCGATTTTTACATCTCCTTCATATATTTGTAAATTCTTCAGATATTACCCAGTTTTGCTATTGTCGTCAGAAATAAAAGTTGTGAATTGCATACCATACTCTTCTGATTTTTGCCATATCTGTACTGCTGCATACATTTCCATTGCATCAGATAAAGCTGTATGATTTTTTTGGCAAACGTGCTTGTCGCCTTCCATCCGGATCGAAAATTCCGAAAAATTTTCATCTTATCGCACTCTGTAGGTATTTGTGCATCTCTGACAATATTTGAGATGACTGCATAGTCAAGAATATGTCTAGTTCGTAAGTCAGTTACGCAAACTAATCCATATTTTGACGTATGACCTCGAGTGAGCCAAGATCCATCATAACTGACAGATATTTCAGTAGGAAAAGTAGTATTATTCCTATACAAGCTGCCATACTTTTTCTTTACTACCTGTCGTATTCTTTGTACATTTTCTGAACAAGTTTTTATGGAAGAATATTTTAAAGCTATGGTATATTTTCGATGCATTAATTGGGAAATGCATTTTACATTCATAATCATGCTAATCTTTTCTACAACTGAATATTCCTTACCAATAGAACTTAAAAATGCTTTATAAATATTAAAATTGATATCATAAACTGAAATGTTCATTTGTTTATTATAAACAATAAAAGAACTGAATGTAGAATTTTGTACATTTTCCAAGCCACTTTTTTCTCAAAACTCACACTTCAAAACAATTTCGTGAACCATTCGTAATTCAATTCGTAATCACATTCAGCACAATTTATACGTGAACAAGAGTGTTCAGATTTGAAGTAGCAATAACTGCATATTGAACTTGTTCCGAAGCACAAAAATATGTAAATATCATAGTTTGATGATTGCAACCTCGTATTCATGTTCGAATTTTGAGGAACAAAAATTGCTTCATCAAGAGCAATGTCTCGCATGTCACTAGAATTTTGCGAAACGAAATTGTAATTGCTGTCTGTTCCAGTTTATTATTTCTCGCAATAATATTGCTATCGTTGCATTTATATCATACGATTTATTTCTTTATATTTCTTTGGTCTACACATTTTCAGAATCAAACAGTTTCTATGAAAATTATAGAAGTACACTTCATTCGCTAAAAGATCTTCTACATATAAACTAAAATTATACGCAGCCATACGCTTAATATACGTTACATTGATGTTCATATATTATGCTTATGATTACGTTGTATAGATCAAAGTCAGACAGTCGAGCCGATAAAGTATTTTCATATCTAATGTATATCACGTATTATCATATACAGTTATATTATACATAGTGCAGCCAATTAATGTTAAGATTAAAATAACTCAAACGAAATCTTTTATTCTGATGATTTTTTCAAAAAAACATAATTTTTTTGTTGTAAAAAAATGGAAGTCAGAAACTTAATTTCTACATCATTCGATTCAGTGTACTAGATGTTATATAAATATATATTTTCAAAATTTTATGTGGAAAATTACTAGTATTTGGTTTTCAGTTGAATGCCCCGCTCCTCCTTAAATACTGTTAAACAAAAAATTATTATTATTTAGTTTTAAATGAATTCCAAAACCACCTAAGTCCAATCATTTTTGTTAATATTTATTTTTGTGCATTGTTTTAGTAAATAATATAGAGAAAATGTAAGCTAAGAGGTACATAACTATTTAAGTTGGATATTAATGATTAAGCATGAACACATTGAAAGGTATGCCAAAAGTTTTCTTTTATTATAGGCGTCTATGGGAAGGCGAAGTTTGAAAAATAATATGTAATAGTCCATGTGACTCATTCTGGCAGTGCGATCAGGGGCATCCGTTGCATCGTATGATACTCAGGTGAGCCGGTATTCCGTCCAAATCCGCTAATTATCTCTACCTATTGTCCATTGACAATGAAACCCTGTTCTTAATTAAATTCTATTTGTAAAAGTACGTAAGGTCTCGCTACCGTTGTTCCACGCAGGCATTCAGTTAATGATCTTGCACGATGCTTTAACGAAAGCCGTAATGATACCGGCGCCAGCGTGGTTCGGTAAAACAGCGTAATAGAGAAAACGTCGAAGGTGTAGCGAAAGAGAAAGAAGCAGTCTCGCGCCCCACCAAACAAGTCGGTGGCGTGAGCGATCCGCGCGTGCGCACTTGGCGCACGCCTTTAAAGCTTCGTACCGCCAAAACGCATTCCCATGAGTCAGTCTTGTACAGCTGGTCGCGTAGTACGGACTGTGTGAAACGGGTACATCGACTGGTCAGTAGTTTAAACGTTTACTGTGCAACGAAACGTGCGTGTGACGCGTTTATTACTTTCTGTGATTCTTTAGAAGAGACTGTCATTTTGGTTCGACAATTATTCGGGGTGAAAGAACAACCGATTATTAGTGTGAAAGACTTTGATAAACTCTAGAAATGAGAAATCTTGTGGAGAAACAGCTGTCCTGGCTTGCCCTGCTTGTGACTACATTCTACTCTCGTGAGTAATTTTATTTTGGTTTAATACTCTTGTCCTCGCAAAATTCACCGTTTTCCGCGTGGGTGTTAAAGAATTTTAATAGAACTTCCTCGTATATCGGTAAAACAAAATTTGAATTTCATAACACGAAGTGTATTCTAAGAGTAAGGATGCGCATTAAAAAAATTAACTCTGCACTATTTAGTATTACATATAATTGATACTTGATGTGTTGGAAACAATTTTCTTGGACCACAGTGATTTTTAGAAGTTAAATTTCCGCTTTTAAATACATCGTTTGAAATGCTAGAGAACCGTTGAATAGCGGCTTAAGGTTCTATCTTTAGCTATTTTTTGTTTATTTTTTACATGTTTTGTAGTTATGTTTTTAATTGTTTTATGAGTGCGGATGAAATATCTCGCTATATTCCTTTGATCATTTATATATCGTTACGATCTAAATTTCTTGTTACTACGATGTCGGTTATGCGACGGAATGAACGAAATATCTCGCGTGTCTTTCATTAGAATACGAAGTGGCTCATTCGTAAAATATTTCGTCATAAGTGCAGGAGTGTCAGGAATGGTGCATAAGGATACATTATATTTTTATAAATTAACTTTTTTTATTTTTATTGTATATAAAACAATTGAAAACATGATGTTATACATAATGCAACATCACAATTTTGACAAATGTTTGTTGTACCATTTAATTGTTCTACGTATAAATATGAATGCAAAATTTAACCTTCATAATCTGTGCCACCCATATATTTAGTGTACTCTATTATAATACAATTAGGTTCTTTTATATATTCTTTGTCACCAAGTAGAGAGTATTTATTGTAGAAAGAATTGATACTACTAGTTTGAAACTACCATAATAAAAGTTTGATAATAGATTGTATATTATGAGTTTCATTAATAATTGTTTTAGTTTTGGCGTCAATATGTATAGCATTGAAATGTAGGAATTGTAGTGTACGGAAAAATTACTTTCTTGAAATTATTTTTTTTATGAATTGGAAATTGTGCGTAGGATTAGTGCTCTAATATAAAGATAATTATTGCAAACGAATTATACCCATATATTGAAGAATAGTGATATAAAAATATACGTATTGCTGAGTGTATAAAATTTCCGTTACGCTCATATTTATTACTTTTTGCCAGAATGATATTCACAAGTTCTTGGTCGAAAAAATATTGGAAAATGAAAGAAAGGCTACTGTTTACCGATAAGTCTGATTTTTCTCTGCTCTCTGCGATTGTTTTGTGTAATTTAAAACGCTTGATTTAAACGTAGTAGTTGTAGATATTTTCCACCGTCTTTCTTTGAAACATCTATTCTACGCTCTAGACGATGAAACGTCATCTGCCATTTCTGTATTAGTATTAATAGCACTGCTGGTGCTATTGTTAATATTGTCGAACCGCGATTGCTATGAATACGAAATGCTCCTTCAAAATTGTCAGAAATGAAGTAAATCATCCGATAAGTGACATTCATTTGTAAATACTGAAGAATGAAGGCATAGACAGTATTGCGGCATGAGATATCTCGTCCAAAGTTGCGGAAGGGTTAATAACTAACTGTGGGTCTCATAAGATAACTAATCCTTGTGAATTCGTAAATCTGTTTACATTTTCTGTGGCATCTCGATGACTAACAATGAAGTGACCTACACATCATTTGTTTGACCTTCTTTTCATTCAATGATACGTACCTTGAGCTTCAGTTTGTAATACGTAAACAATCCAGTTTAGTAGTTACAACATCGGACGATTATCGTGCATCACGATTTCAATACATGTGTATATCAATAGCGTATGTATGTATTGCGTCTGCGACAGTTTCTTCTCTATTATTTCAATATAACAGAATTCTCAAAAATAATGTAACCAACGCTAGTTTTAATCTCGCATTTAATCCATTAACGAATTGTAATCAATTCCACGCTATGTTACAGAGTTAGACGGTATTTGATTGCACTATGATTATTATTGTAATTAATCACAAACCGTAATGATGACAATTGTAATCAAAATTAGTATGACAACATTATTGTTACTTTACATATTCATCATATATGTCTGTAATTTTAAATATACGATTTAGCAATGGTTTATATAAATTGTAAATCTATAGGATTTTCAACTGGTTTCCATACTAACTTCATAATTGTAATCGTTAACGTATTCGATAGTGAAAGATGAGCCGAAAACGTTATTAACCATTTACTTGCAAATATGAAATAAATTTTAATTGGGAAAAGATTTTTCGAATAAATGCTTATTAAAATAAATCTCATAAAAGAAAAATGTATATAGATTATTATTTATTTTGTCAAATGAATTGTTTTAAAAGCAAATTATATTTCTGTTTCTAGTTCATACTTCATTACTTTTTGTTTTATAATTAATTTATTTCTCGATTTAATTATTTAATAAATATATGTTTCTTAAGAAAATTTCGAGTATCATTATTAACTTAGTGATTTAATCATATTAAAAAATATAATCATTTTGTGATTAACGAGATAATTACGTATAATAATTAAATTTGCGACTAAATTCGTTTGATCACTTGTATTATTACTACTAAACATTAATCAGACTGCATGTTGTCTAAAACTGATGCGTTGCATTCATTTATTAGTGTTGATGGCCCTTTGAAACGTTATTAGAAACAACGGATTTCACAGTCGAACGAATTTTCGTTGCAGACGAATAATTAATTGTGTTTAGAAATTCTAGAATAGTCGTTCGAGAACAGGAGCGTGCGATCAGTAGATTTTCTTGCGTCGCGATACTAAAATAGTGCGATGCTTACCACGTGGCTGAGTCTCTCCGTTACATCGTACGAGATGACGTTGCGGTCGTTGATTGGTCGACAAGATGGGCGTGCGCCTGGCCTTACCTTCCAACGTATAGCGATGGGACTGACCCGAGGCTTGAAATGTTTGAACAATTCATTGCCAGGCGTATTTCGCAGAATAAAACGGAGAAATACAATCACGCGTTGTTGATAGTAGGTTGCAAAAATTTTGTGAAATTTTTTATGCAAAATATTAAACTGTAATTTGCAATACGTGGATTTAAAATATAAACTACAATATTATTTTTCTGCCAAAACGATAAAATCTAATTTTGTGATCATATAAACTTTAATTAAATTTAAAAAGGTATCATAGATATGTACCTCGTAAATTTAATGTATATTTCTGCAACGTCAGTATCATTGGACATGTGTTATCTTATCGATGTATAAATTAACATTAAATTCACATCAAAATAATGAAATTAATCTTCATACTATAAATAAAAAGATTACTTAATATGATCTCTGATATTTATTATAATAACCCATTGCGATTTCATTTAAAAATTAGCTACACACAATATTTCACACTCGTTCTCATTTTAAGTCTATTACGAGTAAATATTTTCAAATGTTATCAAAAATGATGTATACCGGGAAGAAAAAATTATCACGTTACCGATGTTTGATTTCTAACAAAGCAACTATTTTTCCATTTTTTTTTATAACAAATCTGTAAAAATTAGTTGTGTAAGGGATTGCACCGTCCACTGTTTCCAACAGCAACCGTGTGCTTTGAATTGATACAGACGTCCTGATAGGAAGTAAACAAAAATATAAATTGGATTGCAAAAGGTTAACTGTAGCAATTTATTCTAATCAGACTCAGTTCCGTCGCTATTGGTTTAGACGAGCTCACGGACGAAATAGCGCGTCAAGGATTTCTTGAATTCGCAACGAAAGAGGGTTAGTAGTGCATTTAGGGGTATGGAGGGAGCAACTGCAACTGTTCCTGTATTGCAAATATTTATTTTTTATCATTAAAATTTTGTTATTTGTAACAAGACAATAACATTTTTTCTATTATATTTAACAATAATGCGTAAATCTTTTATGTTGCGTTCTGAACTTAGATATTAATCTTACTATCAATTGTGGTTTTAAAGTAATAATATGGTCTATAAACAATCTATTTACAACTATTCTACAATTTTTCATCAGAATGACTACTGCAGGACCTTTATGTTTATTAAAATTTGCCTTCCAGTTTACATCCCGTTATTAGTGGTCATCATAAATATTGTCAAAAGTTCAATATAAATAGAATTATATAGGGTTAAATTTACTTTTATCTGCGGAAATGGCATTATTCCACTATTCTCACTGTCAATATTTAGTTCCACCCCCCTTGCTAAATTTCTGGGTGCGTTATTAAAGAGGGTTGCATTCAAGTTTCAAAAACATACACGGGTTATTTTTCTCTGACGGCCGTTCTCTCACGAGGAGAGCCGGTTTCTTGCGGCGCATTCCACCGGGTTTAAGTTCTCCTTTCGTAACTGGCTACGTAGGTACGCGCGCAGCTAAGATAGACGGACGTCCGGTCATCATTCTCTTTCTCCTTCCGCAGGGACTCGCTATTCGTGGAATGCGAAATGGCATCACGCGATTTTCAGACTCATTTCTCTCACAGCGCTTGCTTGTCTATGATACGTGTACTCCGATGACGATGTTCACAGTGTGCTGTAACCCAGTGTTTCTCAACTACGGGCTACGCACCCCTGGGGATGCCTGAACATGTTGAATGAACGTGTTCTAAGAATAGAATAAGAAGCACATTGTAAGTCGAATTTAAACACATCGTCAATAACAAAAGCATTGGAAACTAAAATTTAAAATTAAACAGCTTAAAAACTCGCAACTACTGAAATTGTTTGTATAGTACATTCATTAAGATTATTTTTGATTTTTAACAGATTTACCATTTTTTATTCCACTTCTGTTAAAAATCAGTTAATTTTATTGTTTTTCTTGCTTTGTTTATTATTATAATGAAGCAGACTTACTTGTAAACCAAGTAATACGCGATTCATCATATTATTCAAAGAAAGTAATTAATTGATTATTAAATAGTATTAAATAAACCACCATAAGAAACGTGAACCTGAGAATTTGTATTTTTATTTTTATGAATTGCTTT